GGCTCTCTGCTGACTCAGAATYTGGGCTGCTCATCCTCCAGCACTCCCAAAATCGTTCCTGCCACATCATCCTCGCTGCACATTTTTTTCTTTATTGAAAGCTGGGCCTTTATCTCACTTTTAATGTGGTTTCCTCTCTGTTTCGCTCTGTGTTTCATTCATGTTTTCATTCTGGTTTCGCTCTGGTTTACTCTCTGTTTTACTCTGTTTTCCTGTTTTGCTCTGTGTTTTTACTTTATTTTACTCTGATTCTGTTTTTTCACTGTTTTTCACTGGTTTACTCTGTTTCACTCTGTTTCACTGTGGTTTTCTCTGGTTTTCACTGGTTTACTCTCTGTTTCATTCTGTTTTTCTCCGTTTCTCTCCATTTTTCTCCATTTGTTTCACTCAGTTTTTCTCCATTTTACTCCATTTTTCTCCGTTTTACCCTGTTTCACTCCATTTTTCTCCGTTTTTCTCTGGTTTACTCTCCTTTTTTCTCTGTTTTTCTGTTTTACCTGTTTCACTCTGTTTCACTCCGTTTTTCTCCATTTTTCTCTGTTTTCTCTGGTTTTCTCTGTTTTCTCTGTTTTTTTTTTCTATTTGTTTGACTCTGTTTTTCTCTGTTTTACCCCATTTCACTCCATTTTTCTCTGTTTTTCTCCATTTATTTCATTCAGTTTTTCTCTGTTTTTCTCCGTTTTACCCCATTTCACTCCATTTTTCTGCCCCTCAGGCTGGCCCAGTCTCGGACCAACCCTCAGGTTCTGGACACGGGGCTGTCAGCTCAGGACATGCAGAGTGCAGAGACTCTGTCCCCTGTGGACTGGAACCAGATGGACCCYGGAGCTGCTGAGAAGGACGATCTGTTCCTGTTCTGAGACCCCCAGGAACCTGCAGTGCCCACCCAAAACCTGCGGATGGCGCTCTTCCCCCCGCTGGGAAACCTCCAGAGGGGCTCCGAGGATGTCCCAGCCCAGTTCAGACCAAAGCTTCCCAAATTTTTTTTTTTTTGTACCTGGCTTTTCTCTGCACCACCAGATGCTCTTGGATGTATTTATTGAGCGTTTACACGAGCTCTGGGGAGGGRTGGGGACCCTCAGCAGTGCCTCTCTGCACCTCAGAGCTCTCCAAAAATGGGCTGTGGATGGAAAAAGCTCCCAGCCCTGAATCCTGAGCACTGCCTGAGCCCGGGGAGGGGCTCACAGCAACGTGGGACAGTGAGGGACAGAGCTTTGTCACCGCACCCACGGGGCCATCGAGGCGTTTGAACCCAAAGACTCTCCCAATTTTGCACTTTAGAACTCGAGCCYAAGGCGATGGTCCCGATGGTCAAGGTCAGCAGTGCCTGGAACTCCTCTTGAGAAGCTGTTTACCCAAAAAAGAACCTCCCTGCAATGCTGCAGCTCCGGGTCCCTCACCTCAGACCCCTCTAAAGCTCCCTTGGCTTTGACAGCAGCACCAGCACAAGGAGGGATTTGTTTTGCCAGGCTGGGAGGAACAGCAGCACCACAGATTCAAATTCCCAGTTTGACCCAGTGGATTTTTGCCTGTCCAGGACTGGTTTCTGCCTCCAAACCTCGCTSATTCCATGGATTTGGGACAGTACCTGCTGTCCCTTCTCCCTGCCAGCCACAGCTCCCAGGGGGCTCAGGAAGCTCCATCTCCCCCTGGAACTGAAAATAAGCAATGGAGGTATGAAGCTTATGCTAATTAAAAGATTAAGTTTAATGATCCTAAAMAGTCGCACTGACATCTCGCAGTGTTTGTGGCCTTATGTGAAGTGTACTAATCTGTTTTATAGATTTGGAACTTGGGTTTGGAGCACTAATTCATTCCCCAGACAGCTCTTTAGAACTCCCTGAAAACTGCTCGCAGGAAGGAAAAAAACCCTCTCTGTCAGCTGGAAGAATTCATTAGGAAGCAGCTGAGTGACTCTGA